TGCTATGATTGTAACGAATACGTACATGATCACGTTGCTCGACTACCGCACCAACGGTTGTCTCTGCCCTGTCTGCCCCAGTAGCCACAAGTTCACCACCAGCCACTTTGCCTGCATCTAACAACTGATTCGACGCATCCTGGTAGGCCCGAAACTGCCGCCCATTGGCCCTGACCTCCACCAGCAATTACAGGAGTACCACGACTTCCACGACTTCCACGGTATGTGGACCCTCCACGAACACCTTGGATCTTTTCTCCAGCATGCAGAAGAACCACCGTACCCTCACCCGTCTCTGACACATCAACAGATGTTCCCCATACCCCGGCTAATCACGCTGTTGAAGTACTACTTCCAAATTTTGGTTCAAATCAAATCATCGCGCGTGTTGGTCCCGCCTATGATACTTCCGATCCAGGCCAACCAGCACATACCGAATGCATCCGTGGTCTAGTGCGGCATTGGTTCACCCCCATCCTCGCTCCTCGACCGAATTATGACGGAAAACCTGGTCCTACTCGGTATTTCGTACTCTGCACTAACCCATTCCACGGCACTACATGGCGCAGACCCGATCCGTACCCCAGAGGTGGGTACGCTACTTAGTAGGTCAGCAAGCGAATACACGGCACATTCGATGGTACCAGTGTTTTGTCAGCACCGGCCCGAATTGACCCAGCGCATATCCTCCATATTCGGCTCACTTGGCCCAAGCTTCAAACGGGAATTTACTGACCACTTCTTCCCATCGATTTTGCCCGAACCTCTACAACGGCTATGAGAGCCATACCATATGTTCATACATTGTAACATACAGACTTTGTAACTTATCTTTTTTGAAGAAAAAAATATTATCCCTAACCAAATGGCTTGCTGTAGCCCCAATTCTAGATGAGATCATAAACGAAATTGATCCAATTTCCCGATAAGGGTAACTATTAGACCGGCCATTTGGTATGCTCTTCGCAGCCTTTAACGCTTTGTATGAAATTCGTATTCTCCCACAGAACAATACAGCTTTATAATATATCCAATATGTGACTATGGATCGTAAATTCGACCTCAGATTATGACACACCCTCTAAATAAATGTTGACAAAAAAAACAAACAAAAAAACGTGTAAAACATTCTGTAATATTTTGCGTTCAGCGCCGTATGATCCTAAAACGTTTGATGGACAATGTTGATTAGATCGTAAGGAGGTTGTTCCTCCGCGCCACAGTTGCGCAGCACCGAGATCAGCTTCCAAAAACACGAAGCTATTGCATATATGCATTTGCCTCATAGGATACAGTGTTTAAAGCGGAATTTTATATCAAATCTACAGCAACGCATCTTGGATACATACGAGAACAATTTTTTTATCAATCTTTTCTGATTTAACTATTTTACAAAGGATAGTATGACGAATCTTTAGACTACATTATCATTCTCGTTCTATTTGGCTCTGTAGGCCACGTAGAGTTTAGTGGGATGTCGTATATGATTTCGCTCTTTCATACACAATATATTTTATCTATTTAACGATTTTGTGACGATCGATAAATGTGGCATAAGCATAATTGAAGTTAAAACATCACATGCGGGGGAAAGGGGAAAGTATTCGATAAACGGCGCATATTACGTACGAATCAAAAATTCGTAATGGCTGTCATATCAAATTGCTGTGAATCGTCGTCTCACCAAAGTTTCGTAATTAGGATTTTATTCACACTTTCATACACGATAGAAGTAAATATTGCCAATTCCGCATCCAATACAGCACGACATGACGATCGATATATCAGCCATAAGCAGAATTGAAGTCAATGCCATATGTCGGAGAAAGGTAAAAAAATGTATCCGATAAACAACGCATATCACGTGCATCACAAATATTACAGAAAAGAATCAAATTCACATTGAAAAATACTTTGTGTCATAATTGCTGTAAAATCGTCCTGTCACCAAAATTTCGTAATTAGGATAAAAATGTATTACGGAAAGGTGGCACAGATTTGATGTGGGGTGCAGAACTGACAATTTAACAATCTTCAAAGTCTTAGAAGGCGCAGCGCGAAGAAAAGTTTTTTTCTTATCCCTACATGCCCATTTAGCAAAATAAGTAACACAAAGTTAGTGTAATTCTTGTATTACATTAGTAATCGTATATTGCATAGTACTCTACCCGAGGGGTTTCTTTCTGGCCCTGTTCGTTTCCAGGAAGGAACTACCGGCCTTGCTGAACGGGGCCTGAGTTTATCATACACCGTGTCCTACCTTTTCAATAAACGTAAATACTGGGTTTCTCCTTTGATAGGTTCTTACACGCTGCATCCTTTTTGCTTGATGACGTAATAGGTGCCATTAGTTCTTGGTAGGCAGAGTTTAGCAGTAAGGTCAGTCAAGATGCACTGAAGATGCGCTGAAGTTCCGTCCCGGAGTTTTGTATGGGGATCCAGCGGTTTGTATATCATTCGCGCGATGAGAGCTTGGAAAAAGTCAGGGTCCAAATAGGTAAGGATGTATAATTTTCATGTCATTTTCAATAGTTTGAGGGGGACGTTGTCGGTTTCCACCTTGGTTATTAGTGGTCGAGCCGAGAGATGCATGTAGTTGACTATAGCGCCACTGTCGATTAGAAAAGATTCATTATTGTGGGGGTTGGCGGACGTACTATAGGCAGCTGGTATAAGTATTTGAGCAATAAAAAGGGTAGAAAGCAAGTAATCAAAGTTTTTTTATCCGCTCTTTTACTGCATACATTGTCTACATGTTCATTGCGATTTTATCCAGAGGACTTGAAATAGTCTGGCCTCATTTGCCACAAGCCTTAGGTACGCCGGGCAACCGGACGATCTCGTGCATGGTGGGTTGAACTGCTGGTGTGCTGCTGCTGTTGTAGTGTACTTTTCGTTTTCTATCGGATTCGAAGAGACCATCAATGATGACACTCTGCGCTACGCTCGGAGAGAACGTGATACCCTGGACCTTTTCGCTGAGAAGTATGTCCTCAATGCGATGTGACCAAGGCCAAGAGCGATTGATCCTGTTTACGAGACATTAGGTGGAGAGAAGCAGTGTCGATGATGTCGTAGATGTTGCAAGATTGGTACTTGAAGAAGTAATTCAGAAGCTGGAGCAGTGTCCACGAACGAGACTGCTTGATGGCAAGGTCCAGCTTGAGGCAGAGAGCGATATGGTGGCAATAATTACGTTCTAAACAGCGTGGTATTTATCAGGGTCCTTGAAATTGAGGTGTTAGATCAAAATCAATATAGACTTTGATATTTCAAATGCAACTAAAGTTCGGTACCAAAAATAGTACGTCACTCAGAACTGTCCCTTGTCAAAAGTGTCCTCCATAGTTCATTAGCATAGCTTAGCCATGTGTAGGCACATGGTAAGCATTGTACATATAAACCCTCAGAAGAGGTGTGAATAAATTATGCTATACATGGTTCTATATGCACTATCAGATTATGGGTCTCGGTACTAACATGAGAACGTAGTCGCTTTCGGCGATGGTGGCCTTTCGGGCAGAAGTTCAATCTGAACTGGTTGTTCTATGACGTCTAAATATGACTCATTTAGGTCCGTAGCGAGGGCGTCGGGTTCAGCGTGACAGAGGGTCGTAGTAAGATCCATAATAGAGATAGATGTGGCTGCCATGTCCCAGATAACCAGTGATCAATGTTGGCGCCAACGACGATCTTGGGAGGCTTAGAAGGCGAGTTTGAGCTAGGAAGCATTATTCAGTAATGGTTGATAGTAGGTTTCTATATTGGTTGCCCATAATCTATAGGGAGTCATCAAGGGGCATTCTCAGCGACTCGTGTTCGAACTCAGGCTCGGTTCAACAAGATCGGTAGTTCCTTCCAGCGAACGAACAGGGCTGAAAAGAAATCTTGGGGAATCGTTCTCTACGAACAGGAGAAACCAGAGTTATCCTGAAACAACGTGAAGGAAAAGTTATCCCCTATCTCTTTTCATATCCATTCTAAAATAATTAGGACAAAATTAGTAAAATAATAATATAAAGTTTCAAAGTTCCATTTGGAACCGCATATATATACTCTAGAATGCAATAAACAAGATGTTATCGAAAACTGCAAAAAAAAAAGGAGAAAACAACTTTGCGAAAGCTCGGTGGTGCGCATATGAGGCATACTTCCCAAATCATCAAGTTGAGACCAAAATAGGTGACTGATTACAGATCCATTCAAAACGCGTTTGTATCACATATAAATATTCTTTGGCGAACATCTTATCACGGGCACCAATATGCCACAGCGGGAGTGCGCTGTGCAGTAGTAATATAAAGCATTTGTACTAATTTAACTTCACCTGTGTAGATTCCCTCATAGTGGGACACCGCGCTACTATTAGGGTTACAATATGTACTACTCAACTATCGGACAGGTGGTGTGGTCTGGGTTAAATAAAACCGCATTAGATAATTTCTACGGTCTCCGATTGGCCGGGGTGGGGCAGGGTCAAGTGATCCAGAGAGCTACCTTCAGATATATCTCTACTGATATAGTAAACTTTGCGTTCCTTTGAAGGGGTAGGGATAAGGATATGCACTACGAAGTGTACTACACAGCAAGTCCATCGATTCCACAGCATTATGGCGATATCCGATGTCCTTTTCTGCAAGGGCAGTGTACTGAGGAGAATACCAAACAGGGTCTTACAAAAAACCTACACATTTAGTTATTTAGGTGTGGGTCCGCGTTTTCGCCAGCCATCTCATTATAGAGCAACGTGTCTCAACTTTGGTGCCCTCCAATTAAGACTTCTCGCGAATATAGGCTGCGGTTGCCGACTTCATATTGAGCAGAAACTAAAAGTGACTGATCTGTTTTCTAATGACAGATATGAATATCCTCTGAAATCGTGCCTCGTAATTGGTGTGCCAGCGGCAAGCATGGTTTGAGATTAGGGATGTCAAGTATATGGTACACTAAGGTTGGTTGCTGTTATTAATGAGGTTCGAGCCTGCAGGTATGAGAAAAGGGTTAAAATAATCTACGAAGTAGTCTTTTATGCAGCTCAGAGCACTATCATCGACTGAGTAGTTCCTACGGTCAGGTCAAGAGACGGCATGAGCAGCCACTTGTGCAAGATTCAGTTCGGTATATTATTGAGCGCACCCCTACTGCGTGCCTCAGACGACCGAAACATTGCAGCAAACGGATTTAGACCCAAGCATGCACTTCTATTGTCTAATCACTAGCGTCTTAGCAGTTTATTCTCGATTCGCTTCTTGCATTTAATTAGGCGCAAAGGGTCGCGTCGATTTGCCTTAAGGATGGCACAGTTAGCATCAACTTCCGCCTGTAATTGACATCCTGATTTGATATCGATTGAATACAGGTTAGTGTGGTATGTACGCAACGGAGGCGGAGGGAAGGTGTTTCCAGATCCTAAAAAAGACGCTGATTTTTTTTTGCTGAATTTTGGTCATGAATTGAGCCAATTCCACGTGTAGCTTGATACATTGACGCATGGTTTTCAAAATGAACAAAAATAACGAGGAATTGCTAAAGCCATGCACAAGTGTGTATCAGAGGCACCTACGTTGTCCTTTGTCATGTCAGATCCCGACAATAAATTGACTATTTAGTATCGGTCGGATACGATATCGTATATTTTGGCCTCAATTTTCAGTAATACTTCAAACAGAACCACCAACACCTGAATTGAAAATGGGTGTTATATATATATACAGGCATGCACTAGTTTCCGCATCACACTGCATAACATAGTTGCTCCACTAGAGTCAAGTATACCTGAAAATGTATGAACGTGCAAGTACTCGTGCATGTTTACGACCGTGTAAGTATCTATGAATAATGGTACGTATGCATAAATGTGGTTTTACAGGTACATACCTTTGAAATAGGGTTGCCCTCCATGTATACCGTTTGAAGCGTTTTGGACTCATAAGGCAACAGCTCGACGTCCTTCCATTCCTCCAGTTGATTACCATTAAACTGTATTTAAACAACATGTAAGAATTTGATGAATTCTCGGTCATTAAAAAAGAAAAAAGGACTACTTTTCTAGCCAACTTCGGGGTGTCTCCACCATCGGTCCTACAGTGTCTCTACTTTGCTGAGTTGAAACACAATATGGACATGTGTGTAGTGCAGTTCCGGATTGAGCTCGCCTGCAATTCCACCGCGGTTGCGTCACCAGAGAAAAAATGTCATCCCTCAGTCGACACGCAACAGTGGGTGGTACATCGCACTATGTACACTCATGTCTCGGCTTACCACTGCACACCACCCCAAGTTAAAACTTTCCTTAGGACAGTCTGCTTCTTAAGTACTAGACCACTGAACATATACAAGTGCGACTAAATTGCCACATACTCAAATATGTATATGAGTAAAGTACATTTAGAAATATAAATAGGCGCATCAAACCAGAAGCTATCGAGAGAAGCCTTCACGATGACAATGTTTCTCGTAGGTGACCTTACACGGGCACTCGATAGCTACACACGCACATCACACAACCCGCAATATACACAGCCTTACACAAGCACACAAAGGGTGACTACGCAAACACACACGACATCTGAGCATCCACAATACCCATGCACGCACACAGAAGTACACTGAAAAGGCATGCCAGAAATGCTGGAGTACGGTACCGATGAACACGTACACGACCCCGTAAACTTCAGACCCAGCGCACATATCAGTGTCGACAAATGTGAGCATTCGGATGCGCTTGGGGGCGCAAGTAAGTGGCACATGTGCACAATGAAGTTCTTCGCATGAGCTTTAGGCCCAAGCAAGGGTGCACGGTGGTCATGTTCGATTGACTGCGGTTGTATATTTGTTTAGCAAAACGCCGCTACCAAAAAAGAGGCACGAGTATGCTTGAGCGTGCCCTTTTTCAGAGAAGTTCAGAAGAGTCGCTACATGCACTGATACTCGTGGAAGCACACACTGACACTCTGACCCACAGACGCATAACACACTAACAAATAGGGGTAGGGGGTGCTCACACGCACATATACAGGTCTACCCGGAAGCACACACCGTCGTAGGCACAGGTCGAATGATCACTTACCCAGAACTCCTCCAGCTTTGTGAGGTGTTTTATATTGCTTAGCCGTGCGATTCTATTCGCCGCCACATCCAGTGTAGTGAGGTTGGTCAGGGAATCTAGGCCCTTGAGTTCGTAGAGCCCGTTGTGACTCATGTATAACTCCTCCAGATCAACATTGTCTTCTAACCCTTCCAGATCTACAATCCTATTGCTCTGCACGGTTTTCAAGACAAACCAGTCAACGAATGCACAACTAAGTATGCACTTATGGATCTCTGTGTCCAAGGCTTGATAGGAAGATATACATACCTCTGAATGAGATCCCCATCCACTGAGCAATATCTCAGCTGTCAGGGGGTCAGGCAAAAAGTTGTATATGCCTCGATCGAGAGTGACGGATCATGTGCGTATACGTTTAACGACTATATATTGAGGACACCCCCACACCGAATCTCTTTATGTATGTGCGCACCGTACAGCCACAAAATAGAATTGCAGCTGACGCAGAACTGTTTGATTTCTTACGAGCACATACACACAACCTGATGGACAGGGATGGGTAACCGCCTGCGACTACAAGCCCATATAAAAATGCATGCTGGTTATATAGGCAGCCAAGCACTCTCGCCTGAAGTGCACACACAACCCTCAAGCTTGGAAATACGTGCACCGGATGTATATAAACGTACACATATGCTACACACACTCATGCACATGCGGGCGCGATTGGAGTTACCTGTATGCTTAGTACTCTCAGTTTAGGCAGACAACTGATTCCCTCAATGTGTGTGATTTTGTTCCGGCCCACGAACAGCTGCTCCAGGTTTTGTAAGCTATCCAAATTCTCGATTTTCTAGTACGTCGGGAAAGTGAGTGTGGGGATTAATTTTCTATTCCTCCGAATAATTCATTGGTGAAGTGTATACTTTCAGTACAAATTCGATATATATAAAATTTCCAGTCGTGATGAGCAGAATTTTATAATTACAACCTGAGAGAGAACAGTGCAACTCAAGGCAGTTTGTTCTTTAGGGTTTAGGCTAAACCATAAACCCTAATTGCACGGCCACCGTTAGGTGCAAGGCGGTTAACTAACGCGACAAGTGGCGGAGACACTTCAGTGAGCCACCTACCGCTGAAGTCGAAGGCGCGTGTTGGGAATAGTCGCGAGAAGAGTATTGGAGAAACTTCAGGAAATTTCAGAGAGCGAGATGTGTGTGGAGGTAAGAGAAAACACGACTCTTTCACAATAAATAGATAGAACTGACGAGCGTCAGAGTTTCAGTTGATGCGTATAACGGCTTAGGTTCTATACCACAATTGAGTCATGATGACAAGGGCCATATCACATCAGATATACACAGAAAGCAGACAGGCACGTCGAAAACATTCATGTTGGTAAACGTATTTACGTACGCCATGATCCTGTACAACTCAGCGCTTGTTCAATATGTATGCAACATAGGCCGATACGTCTATTCGAAGGATCGATATCTTGTAATAGAGCAGCTCCAATAGTACAGAGAATGCAACTATGCATTGCGAGTATACAACGCCAATGATAACACCCACAACTCAGCACTAGGTCTGTAGTGGGCACGTGCTGCGCGCAGACTGAACAGTCGCCACGTGTAGCCATCGATTTAAACTTACCTACCAAACCATAACACCTAGCATTGAAACTCGCAAAAGTGCGTTCCTTGACTCTCCGAGAACGTACACCTATACGAATATCAGTATTTGTTATACCAGACACCAGAACGCCGGCTATACTCACCCTAATACGGTTGGAGCCCAACTCGAGATACTTCAGTTTGGTGAGTGTCGACAAGTTCTCAATGGTAGTGATTTTATTGCTTATAAGGAAGAGCTGGGGAAATGGGGTATACGGGGAAAGAGGAAGATGCATTAAAGAAGCAATGTGATGGCACTTGACGGAGACAGACCACTTTTAAATGTGATGCCCTATCCACTTTTTAACCTATATAAGCTATATATACGTTTCAACGAGAAGTAGGTACTCAGTACTACGCAACAGGAAGCAAAGATGAGCTTAATCAACACAAGAGACGTATGGAAAGTTGTAGAGGTATCGAATTGACACAAAACACTATATGGTAGGATATGGGAGTATACTACAACGAAACACTATATAGTAGGATATAAGAGTATACTAAAATAAGACACTCTATAATAGGATATAATAAAACACTATATGGTAGGATATGGGAGTATACTACAACAAAACACTATATAGTAGGATATTAAAATAAGACACTATATAATAGGATATAATAAAACACTATATAGTAGGATGTAATAAAACACTTTGAAGTAGGATATAAGAGTATACTAAAATAAAACACTATATAGTAGGATACAATAAATCACTATGTAGTAGGATATAATAAATCATTATATAGTAGGATATAATAAATCATTATATATTAGGATATAATAAAACACTATATAGTAGGATATGGGGGTATACTGAGATGAAACACTATACAGTAGAGTATAGGAGTATACTAAAATAAAACACTATATAGTAGGGTACAGGAATGTACTAAAACAACCGAGAGGCGAAGAAAAAGTGAGAACTTTGAGAGAGCATCAAGAACGCTGTAGAGACAGTTAGTGAACAGTAGGAAGCTTCATGAACGGGGGGGGGGGTGGTGACTATAAAAGGAATACAAACATCAACGCCCAAGGAGGTACGTAGTGGCCCTACAATTCTATTAGAGTGGTGCTTCAAAGTTGCCTGGTCCTTCAATTCACAACACCAGTACACTCACCCACTACAGGTTCGCTAGATTAGCAAAAATGGGCACAGCACAACGAACCGCGTTGGACTCGCTGATATGAGACTAATAGACACCTCTCTATCTAAGGCATAGGGTAGACGTATTGGAAAAGAGGCCAGAGATAACATACCTCCGGATGAGGAAATGGACCACAATACTAGACTGGCCTCTAAAACCCTAAACCACAAACTCTAAAGATTGAACCTCGGAACCATTCTATATTTAGGCAAACATACCTTTTCCAGATTGACCAGGCTCTCCAAGTTTTCGATTTTGCGGATGCCATTGAAGGACAAATCCAGCACACTGCACATCATCAAAGGGTGGAGAAGAAGAAAAACAGAGCGTTAGGGAGATACCAGAAACAGTGCCGTGAGTACGAAATTGTGCTAAAAATAGACACAGACCCAAACCTATATATGGAAGCCCACACACACAGGCGCCGTGAGTTGTACAGGGCGCTCCGGCACATACGTTAACTTGGTCATAGCAGCCAGACCCTCCATCTTGGTAAGGCGATTATCGTACAGGTCCAAGTCAGTCACTTCCCCACAGTCTTCGAATCCCTCAATACGTTGGATGTAGTTCTGACGGAGGCACAAGGCTTCTACTTTGGTCATGCCTTGGAACATGTCGCCGATTTCAACCAGCCTGGCATGCGATGCCATGACCTCTGTGTATAAATGAAGGTACAGGTGAATACTTGCTAGGGTATGTATAGAATGTAGCTTAAACGCAAGGTTCCATTGGTGGATTTGGTTATGGAATATATATATACGTAT